GGCCAGGACTGGAAGGGTCAAAGGGCCAGGGGCCCACCACAAGGAATGCCCAAGAGCTGAGGGCCTGGGGTTCTGGCTGGCTTGGAGGTGGGCCAGGGCTAGTAGCGAAAGGTCCTGGGGGGGACCACACCCGAAGGGGAAGTGGTTCAGGGAGCTATGCTGCCCGGTATGAAGGCAGATGAGACTGCCTGAGGAGAGGAATCCAGGCGGGGTTCAATTAGGAGGATTCTGGGGCCCAATGTGGGGGCCAGCAATAATGATAACATTGAGATGCCATCTGTGAGGCTTGGGTTGCAGCGTAGGGGAGGAATGGAGCTGCAGATCATGCCCCCTGGCATCAGGGCAGGAAATGGGCAGCCTCCTGCTTAATTGACATCTATTAATTAATTAACAACAAGGTGTGGTGGGCGAGAAGGTGGGCAGTTAGCCCAGAAACAAGTGGGTGGGCCACGGTTAAATCAGCCCTGAGAAGGCCTGCCTGTTACATAGGGTGTGCATGGGAATCCCCCACGTGTGCCCCCCTGAGCTGGTTAGCACCCACCCCTGCCCCACAACAGCGTGGAGCCCACACACCCTGCAGTGCCTCCCTGCCAACAGTGTGCAGCCCCAGCACACCCCATGCCTGCTCCACATGGCCTGACTGTGGCATACCCTGCCGACCCCTGCGCATGCAGCAGGGCTAGGGCAGTTCCATGGCATGACTGCCTTTCTAGGCAGTTCAGGTGGCAGCAGATCCTTCTGGTTGCCCCTTCTGCTGGCCTCAGCCCAGTGGTAGTAGTGGGGATCCACGTGCACAACCCTGACCCAGCACACCATGCACCTGCTCTGGACTTGCGTGCCTGGGCTGAGCAGCAGCACCAGCTGGGCAGAAACTTGCTCAGCACGGTGGGAAAGTGACCCCTCCCACCTCACTGCCACTGGGTAGTTCTCGCTGCAGCTGCCTGGAGCCTGCGCCACACTGGGCTGCCCTGCATCTGCTCTGCGCTATCACCGCTGCCCTGCTGGGCAGCCCAGAGATGGCAGTGACAGAGCCCAGCAGTGACTGAGCAAGGCAGCTCGGTGCGGCACGGGCTCCAGGTGGCTATGGTGAGAACTGTCTGGCGGCAGCAAGGGACTGCTTTCCCCCCACGCCAAGCAATAGTTTCTGCCTGGTGCCACTCCTATTACTGCTGCTGCTGCTCGGCTCAGATGGGTGAGTCTGGTGCAGGCATGGGATATGTCAGGTTGGGGCTGTGCGTGCAGGTCCCTGCCGCTACTGGAGAGCTAGGGCCAGTGACAGCAGCTGGAAGGAGCCGCTGCTGCCTAGAAAGGCAGTTCCTCTGTGGAGCTACCCCTGCTCCGCTAAATGCCCAGGGGCAGCAGGATGCGCCACAGCTGGGCAGTGCCTCGGCCAAGCAGAGCTAAGGGACCCACTGCAGGCTGGATCTGGCCCACGGGCTATATTTTGCCTACTCTTGTCTTAGAGGCTTGGATGCACAGCTCAGAATCGGGTACTTTTTTTTTTTTGAGAAGCCTGTGTCTTCCACTGACTCACAGCAATAAAGAAAGTTAATTAAAATGGTGGTGTTTTGTTTGGTTGGTTGTTTGGGTTTTTTAGAAAGTGCAATTTCATGTTGTAGATCCCAGACAAAATATAATCTCCTCTGCAACCTTGATTATCCTTCCCTACACCTCTTACAGTAAAAAGAAGTGCATTTTAATGCTGTTTCCCCTACCTTCCTGTTGGCCATGATTCTGTTGCCCTTATTCAAGTGAGACTTGGTCACTTGCTATTTTAAAATGCACATTCCTTTTATGTAGTTGTATAATACATTCAGGTAACATTTTTCCATATATTTTAATGCATAGACATTAACAAAAATAGACCTCCACTATCAATTCCTCTCCCATTCCACATCAGTTCTCATTCTTCCTGTTGCCTCACCACAGGCAAAGGGAGCTCCTTCAGTAGCTTGGACAGAGTGTGGGGAAGGGACAGGGCCAGGCAGTCTTGCCTGCTGTGGTGCCAGCTACTTGGGGGCCCACCAGTATGGTTTCTCCTCTAAATCAGTCCCTGGGACTGGTGCCCTGCTCACCGCTGTATATGCTACTGTGCCTCACTCATTAATTAGTATTAAGAACAAGTCATGTCATCCAGGCCTCACTTAGGGGGCAGAACTTCTCTTTACTCCACTGGGAGATTTAGGATGGCCTACATGACAGACTGCAGTGTTCTGTAGAGATAATAGAGCTAACGTGGGTCCTGAGAGCAGTTTAGCTTCAGTGTTGTGCATGTTGGCACAGGCTGATTTGCTGAGTCATAAAGTTAAATATGCCTGTGCTGAGCTCAACATTGCTCTGTCTACACTGCTACCAGTACCTGGATTATCCAGTGGTAAACTAGCTGTATCAGGGCAGTATTTCACTTGAGTTAAAATAGGCTGTGCTGTCCCTGTTCTGGTTCTGGAGCTTAAGTGGTTCAAAGACCCAAACTAGTCTTTTACCCTGGCAGTCCTCATTTGGAGCTGGCATAGGTATTTGCTACCTTGTGCCATGTAGACAAACTCTTTGAACTTAGTCAGGTGTATCTACAACGGAGGCATTCCCTTTATTATGTACATGTCGTGTGTGTATAATATAAGCTCTTTTTTTCTATGGACAGGTTATTGGAATTTCCAAATTACAAAGCATGTTTACTAAGGAATGCCATGACATGGCTATTGATGACATAGTCATCCAAAGCTTTGGGGGTAGAGATATAATAATACTGAACACCAGTATACCATTAAGGATTTAGCTAGAGACTGCAGGAGCATTCAGGCCCCACATTCTGAGATTTCCCATATTGACAAATGTTATGTAGATACAGAATATTTTTTCAGCCCTAAAGGACTCTTGCCCTATGGATAGTATTTAACACCCCTTTATGCTACTTGGATTGTGTTGGGCCTCATAAATAGTGACAGACAACTACATTAACAGGCACTGCTTTGTTTCCTGTTTGTTTTTCTATAACATTCTTGTGGATAATCTTTTTGCAGCTCTGTTCCAATTCCAAAGGACGCATCTTATTTCAGGAAAGAAAGAGAGATGATACTGAAGAAAGGTTTACAGGTAACTAAAGCATATGCTGGCATGACAAAGACCCTTTAGCTATATTCCAAATACATAGTAACTAAAAACTGATTTTGGATAAAGTGGATTTTTTTCATGAACAAAGGGCTGTGATTTGTGTCTCCATTTTTAACAACTAAATGCTTGGAGAGCAGGAATAGGCCTAATATAGTGTTTTGCAACTTAGTAAAAGGATACTTTTTCCTCTGAAAAATGTATTCTTGTAATATTAGTAATTTTGGACCCAGTTCTGGAGCATTTGGCATAAGACTATCCCTACTCAATTCAAAGGCTGCAGGACCAAGCTCATAATGAAGTTTTCTTTAACTGAAAATAAATTCATTTTGATATCCTAGGTTGTGGAGAGAAAGAAAGCTGGCCACTAAGACCTTTCTGGGAAGGGTGGCTTTATCTTTTACAAAGCATGAATACTCCACAGGAGTGAGTCCTGTCCCTGTGCCCCTGGAACATCTGTATTTTCAGCTGGGGGCACACAGCATCTATCTGTCTAAGAGTTGGTTGCTGTTTGTTTGCAGGTAGCCCAGGCGAAACCTCTTGTTGTTCAGGCTGATGTCATGCAGAGGGAGCTAGAGAGCTGTCTGAGACGAGAGTACACAGAAGAAAACCTGCCTCTGCTGCTGCATCAGGTATTTTCACTGCTGCTCAAGGAGTGGCATAGTGTTCCAATATGCTTGTCCTATGGTGGCTGACACTGTCTCTCACTTAAAGAAAGGATTACATGAAACTACATCCATGAAAATGGTTTGCTGAAAGTGTTTCCTTGGAGAATGGTGAACCACTTGTGCTGTTCTGTTTGGTATATAAACAGGTGTCCAAGACATCTGGGACAGTCTGGAACAACTTCCATGTGTTTTTTTTTTTTTTTCTTTTTCAGTGGGGTTAAGAATAATGCTACATTTTTACTGCTAGTGGGCTGCATTCTAGCATCCTCCCTGAAGAGACTAATATTTTATTCCTACAAGTAGCAGCATTTTCTTCACTGAAATTATTTGAGAAGAAAATTGCTATTCTGTAGGGAGGAAGGGGAAGAGGGGCAGAGCACAGGTCCCAGGTGACTGACCAGCTGCTCTCTTTTCCATATAGGACATGCTGGGAGCATCTACATGAGATGTTTACTGACTAATTAGCTGTGCAATAAATGTATGTCTACACATGTGCCCCTGCTAGGCAGGAGTAAATTTAATTTACTCTGCAGCAGGGCAGTACTTATAAATACAAGTACTGTCCTGCCATAGAGTAAAAATCCCTGCAGCACAGCATGTGTGGGCGCTGCCCCAGATGGCTGGGGCACAAGGGCGCTTCAGTTCAATGGCTGCCTGCTGACTAGTCCCTCACTGAAGCACCCTTGTGTCCCATCCAGCCCCTCTGCAGCACATTGAACTGGGTTGGAGCAGTCCTGGCTGGCAGGCTGACCCTCAGGCCTCTGCCAGCTGGGGCTGCTCTGACCTGGCTTGTTGTGCTGTGCTCCTGGGTGCATGTGCAGACATGGTGCCTAGGTGCAATAAGGTCCAGAGTTTATTTAAGTATGCTAATGGAACATGTAGACATGTCCTATTATTACTACTTTAGTTCCCTATAACCTGAAGCTGTTGCCATTTGCTTCCATTTACTTAAATGTGGCTTATTGGTTATTTTTGGTTTTATTAAAGTTTTTTACAGACAGAATTACCCAGCTGGTCCAAAGCAAATATTTACACTTGCTAAGATGGCAGAGATTCTGTAAGCACAGCAGTGTTATTGAACAGCTCTATCCTCTCTATCAGGTATGAACCAAAAAAAAGGAGCAAAGTACATACTATGATTGTGTGCCTCATTATGAAATATTAAGGTGTCTGTCTCACACTAGTGTCAAAGCCTAGGGTCATTACCAGTAAAATACACAGAAAGTGTTGTTTATACTTCTGTAACACATAAGTGTTACACATAACATAATTCTGTTGCTGGCCTTGCAGTTTCCAGCAACAGAATTAAAACACAGGGCTATCCCTGAAGAAATGTACAGTCAGATGATGGGAAGGAACTCTGAATATAAGTGATTGGTGTATAGTAGGCATGTGTCTTGTTACTTACACATCTGTTGCTTAAGTTTAAAGGTAAGCACCAGGTGGGCAGTACTATGCTTATGCAGATCATTTCAAAGGAGCATTAATACCATATTTTTTAATAAGTGGAATTGCCTAGGAGTGTGCCCCACGTTTAATAGTGTTCAATATCTATATCATGAACTGGCAAATGGGATTTGTGTCCACTTTGTAAATTTGTGCATGGTGATGAACTGGGTGAAGCAAAAATCACCCCAAAGGACAGGATTAGTGTTCAAAATAGCCTTGATAGTTTGGAAAAATGGCCCAACATGAATAGGATAAAATTCAATAAAGGCAAATGTAAAGTACTATATCTAGAAAGGCATAGTTAAATGTACAGACACGAAATAGGGAATAACCAGGAAGGAAGCAGTACTGCAGTAAGGTACTTGAGAGTTTTTGTGGACCACAAGCTGAACAGGAGCCAATAATGTAATATAACAGCAAAAAAGGTTGGACTAGATCCTTTGAGCTTTATTCTAGCCCTATTTTTTCTTTGATCAGTCTGCATGATTAGGTATTCTTTATATGCTATATATTTGCAGAATGTAGCTTTGAAAACTTAAACGCTTTGCTAATAGCATGTGTATAACGTACATCATTCATTTGCAATTCAAAATTTCTGAGTAGTACATCTTCCTAGAGGACCTCTGCTGCTCTAATGCTCCAAAATCCCAGAGCATTGAAATCTTCCAAAGCTGTACATATCTCTGGTAATGACCTTAACACAGTAATCTCACATTTAGCCCAGCAAGCTAGTAAGTTAAAACGACATGGCTTAGCAGCCTGTAGCATTACATTGGTTTATTCAGCATAATCTGTTTGAAGGCTGAAACCTGGGATAAAGTCACAGAAAGGGCCTTTCTCTGAAAATGAGCAGTTCAACATGAGTGCATCCCAGGAAAGTGGAAGGCTCTTGCTCTTTTCAGCTTTCTGTGTTCCCATTTATTGCATTTCAAACAATGCTGTGCTGATTTTGTTCAATCTGAGGTCTTTAGGTTTCCAAAGGAAGCACCTTTCACTGAAAATGCAGCTTTCACCTCTAAGACAGCTCAGCTTTGAGAGACAGGAGAAAACAAATTCCAGCACAATAATTTTAAATTATTTTCTTTCCAACATGTAAATGCGGTTCTTATAGGCTTATTCACAATCCCTAAAAGTTATAGTTAAATTGTTGATGAAATTTTCCATTAAGGATTTTATGTAGCTATATAATAAATGTTTCTTCTATTTTCTATCAAATCTGCCTGTACCGATACTTTCACTAAATCTTCTGATTTCAATGTGGATGTTTTGAGCTTCCTCTTGGTTGCAGTCAGATGTCTGGAAGCATCCTCATAGTGTTATGCTAGCAGCATGGGAGAACAAGAATGGAGGAAACAATAGAAAGAACTTCTGCTCGATATTTGAGCAACACTTTTATGAACAAAGACTCAAAACAGAGTCAATAGATTGATCTCTGTGACACAAGATAGAAACTGCTGGGTGGATTATTGTCCAGCCTGGATGCCAGTGTGACATCTTGCACTTATTAGCAATATTGTTGGCAGCCTCCTAAAAGAGGCCAAGAACAGAAGGGACCTGGAAGCTGAATAGCTTTCCATTAATTATTACTAGCCAAGACATGGATATGCTGAAGGAATATTTAGAAAAGCTTGAGCAACTCTGTCTTCAGCTGATCCTCTTTTTTTGTGGCTAAGGCCTTCACCTCGGTACAACAAAACGTGCTAGTGTGATCCTGTGGTTGCTCAGTATTCTAATAATTTTGAATTCTGGAGTTTGTTTTTAACAGCTGGCATAGATTGGGAAACTAAAGGGAACCAATATTTATAACTTGGCCCTTAGTAAGACTAAGTTAAAATGCTTTTAAAATGTTAACAATGGAAAATGGGAAAGAAATGGTAAAACTCCTTTCCTGTTTCTGATCATCTCTTTTCCACTAAGAGTATTATTTAATAGGGCTACCAGTCTAGGAGCTTTCATAACCCTTCAGTTATCTACCTGAGATATGAGAAATGTTTTTAGAAAGTTCTGGAATTGTGGTGGTGACATCATTTGCTTTCCCTAGAAGTCATTGCTGGCATCCACATTTTTAGACAGCTGAATGCATTCATTACAGCGTCTATTCCTACAAATAGCAACTGCTAAGAAATACTCTATTTGCAACTGAGACTCACCTTAACTTTACACTGCCAATATCGTGTTTGTTTATTTTTAGTGTGTAACTGTGGGAAACAAGAGCCTTGAAATGACTCCCAAATTGGAATTTCTCATGTGGCAATAATTCAATGTTCTTTTGGCCAATAAATAGAGAACAATCCCACCCAGGACAACTGTATTAGTTCTTTTTTTTTTTTTTTTGT